TATCGCATGAATCCAGAATTTTCTTAGCAAGACCTTTTGCGTTTTGCAGTTCACAAGGTTTGCCGAGAAGTTCGCTGGTAGAAGTTATCATGTGGAGTATTTCTTTTTGATCGATCGTTTCAGATTTGTCGTAATCAAATATGCTGAATGCCTGCACAATAGAATTCTTTAAGAAATAATCGAGCAAGAGTCAACTGATATTCATACCAAACGAAGACTATCTTCTAAATCATCCGATTCATGAATGTGCATCGCCGTTACATATTCAGTAAAATTTAATGTTCCATTATTGTCTTGATCTAATATGCTAAATGCGTATCGGCAGTAGTTACTTGCCTTTCCACTGCAATGAAAAAATTGGAAAATGTATGCATCATTTTATGATTCACTTGCTGCATGTTAGAACTTACTCTGAATATAAATTCCGAAAAGCATTAGAAAACACTTCTCTTGTCATTTTTCCGTCGGGACTAAAAAAGAAATAGTACGAAAATTGGTTAGTATTGATATAAGTAAACTACTTAAAGCTGATCACATGTAGACTCATCAAATTAGATAACAACATTTTTGTGTTTTTACTTCCGCTAAGTTAAACTTTGTCCATAATTACGACTGAAAATTTTTGAGAGAGCGACTTTTCTCTCTCGGCGAGATCCTCTTTTGAGATGAAGCTTGTTCCATGTCTATTTTTCGCAAACTGGTTCACTTTTCCTTGAACTAAACACAAAAATACTACTGGATTGTGATCTCTGTGAAATAAATGCGAAAATAATTAATCTCAGTTCATCTCATTTTCCGGCATATTAATTGAATGTATTTTGTGTCGAAAGTGAACATAGTCTAACCCTTGTTTTACCAATCCATAACATAGAAAAATGCATTGTAGTAAAATTTTCTCGCCATTTTTTGCTTACCAGAGTTCCAGAAATTCTGCATGCATTTCTTTTAATTTTTCTTCATCCAGACTATCGTTTTCGTGTAAGAGATCATCGATTTGTTGCAACGTTAACTCTAAAAGAAGTAATGTAGAGTAGTGTTTATAACGAGGAGTGACTTTTCAAGAGTGGAACGTACAGAAACCATAATTGGTTCTTTTCTTCAGATAGGCTTTCGTGTTTTGGCAGAAACTTAAACGCGAATTACTGAGATAGTCGAGCATGGATAGGAGAATTATATTACCAATTTGACTAAAATTGATGTAGCATGTAGACAATAAAGAATTGAATTCGTGCCGAAAACAGCTTTAGGTCACTTTTAGGTACTCAGGCGGATGAAATGGCCCAGGACCCAACAACGAATTCGCTACATATCACATCAAGTAGACGGCTAAAAAGTTGGCTGACACGCATACATCTATTTATCATTCTGTGTTTCATTCAGCTGACAAAAGACGCTTACTCGTTAATGTAGCAAAGGGAAATACTACTATACTTGGGATACATAGATAAGCATATTTAAAACAAATGAAAAAACTTTTAAATATTCTAAGAAATAATCTTTGTTAACTGTGTGTGTCTGGAAAGGCAGCGGGTATTCTAATTTGCGTTATGCTTCGCTCTCTCAAGGGGTCCTCTAATGTGTCCATGACTTTGAATGCATTAAACAAGACTCGTTTTAATTATCCTACCGCATTCTTGATGGATCGCTTTTTTCTGTGCCTTTTTTTTTTCTTCTTCTTTTCGTGCTTGTTTTTCTCGTTCTTCATTCTCTTTTGCTTGAACGTCCTCCAGCATTTCTGTGTCTGTTTTTGTTGTTAATCGACCCTTTATGCTTGTCGTCGCCAATTGATGATGCCACCGTTCCAACGAAATAGTGAAACCTTTTGCTATTTCGGATCGATGAACGATTGTCGCGTCGATGTTCTTTGCTTGTCTTATTTGACCTTGGACTGCGTTGCTATTAGAATTGGAGCTTGAATTGCTACCAGACTTTTCGTCCAAGAGCGACGATTCGTTAGATAATTTTTCATGATCTTTATTAGCCGAACTGTTTGAATTGTCAAAGCCTGTCGCGGATTCATTTGAACTGCTGTTGTTCTTTTCGCCGCTAAGCCCAAGCCCCCCAATTAAAGGTATAGCACTGGGTAAAGTAAGACCCCCTTTATATCCACTGCTTTGTGATGAGCTAGACGACTGACTTCCCGACATGCGATTGGCATCACTTTTTTCATGCAGAATGTCCGATGAACCGGCTGATGATGACTGGTCCAAACTGTGATGACTTGATTCTGCGCTATTGGCATTGCTTGTCGACACTGAATTAATTATATTTGCCTTTAAATCGTCGGTAATGTCCGTGTCGCCGCTTTGCATTTGTCTTATATCGTCCATACTGAATTTTTGGAAGCCGCTGGCAGACATGGCATTAGCAATTTCTTGTTTGATTAAATCTTGTCCGAATGACGACCCACCAACCCCGATATCTTCCACAACTCTCAATTTGGTTGTAATGCTAGCCGTGATTTTATCCATAACTGATCGACTCACCACCATACTTTCGGCTTTGCTCTTGCCAAATATTTGCTTTTCCAAATCGATTCGGTTCACTTCTTCAGCGCTGATTGTCAAGGAAGCACGGGCTGTTGAAGTGCCACTTAGGCTGTAGTCGTAACGCAATACAATATCATGATCGCGTGGGCGATCGAGTTTTGAAGTGATTTCGGATAATTCGTCTCGATTTTCGATATTGAAAATGACTCGCATTGGATGCAATTCTTTGTTATCAACCAATGTTCCATAAAACGTTTTCGTAACGCCACTAATGCTGATCGTCAATTGTGCAAGAAATGTTTGAAATGGACAAATGACAAAATTATCGGTTGTGAACTCCAATCCGTAAATTTCTTCAGCTCGTGTAGCCAATTGTTGTTTGTGAGATTCGTCCAAAAGACATTCAAGTGTTACTTCAAGTTCCTGTAAGTCCGGTCGTGCTTCAAAGATTGCACCGGTTTCGGGGTTGACATGAAATCGAATTATTCCAGCAGTATGCCATCGACATTTTTTAATTGTTTTTGGATCTGGTGTTGTTGTCCCATCAAGGTAGCCATTTGTTGTCTTTCTTGTTAGCTGTGTTGGATATGCAATAACTTGATATATACGGGATGTTTTGCCCCGTCTGATGGTTATCGGATGGCTCAACTCCGCCCCATCGACAATCAAATCTTGTGTGCTTGAACTAGCCATTTTCTAAAATGTTTATAAATGAAAATAATAAGTTCTATAATTAAAATAACGACTGTCACACTATCCCATAATACTAGCGCAGAGAGGAGCGTTATGCAGTTGAGATAAATGAAAAACGATGTGGTAAGAGAGCTATGTTTAAGGGTATCCCCTCTTTTTGATCACTTTTGTTTCTCAGCCCGTGTACAATCGTTACGATTGTAATTCTAACCACAGCTAGAGCATAAAAGAGA